CTCAGTGCATAATTTGGTAACCGCATGTAACCGCTTGGATATTAAATTAAATGTATATTTAACTTCGCATATGTCCGCAGTGCATTATGACCCTATCTATTCCCTGTCATTATGATCATAATTATATATCATAATTGTTTAAAAATTAAAGAAACAAAAATCATTTACTTTAATCTTATTATTATTATTATTATTATTATTATTTTAATTTTAGACTAATGAATTGAATTCTTAGACTAAAAAAAGAGACATTGAGCACTAGCAACACAGGCTATCGGCTCTACTTTAATCTTAAAAAGAGAAAAAGGTACAAAAAATCACAATAATGTTAGAAAAGAATTAAAACAAAACTACTTCGAATTTCACAACTTTAGAGAGTAAGTAAACGAGCGACCACTTGTTAGAATGTAATATTTCGGGGACTTCATTTATTATTTGTAGTAACTAGAATTTCAATACTATTTGGATTGTCACATACACATATATGTGTACCATAGTGAATACTTTATCTGGATGCTTTTGCTTTGTAACAGTTTATTATTATTATTATTATTATTGTAATTTTAGACTAATGAATTGAATTCTTAGACTAAAAAAAGAGACATTGAGCACTAGCAACAAAGGCTATCGACTCTAATTTAAGTAAATGTACATTAGATAATGAGCTTAGTAGTATTAAAAAAGTAATATATTGAATTGGTATTCTGTTCTGAAGCTGATTGTAGAATGTTCAAAGGGTTAATCGTTCCAAATGCAATACTTCTAGCCGAGGAAAAGTTGAGGCAATCGCAGAGAATGTGCTTTATAGTAAGAGTTTGTCCACAACAGCAGATTGGGGGAGAAGACTTCTTCAGGATCCATTGGTGAGTTGCAATTGTATGACCAAGGCGAATTCTCGAAAATGTTTGGATCTTGGTTTTCTCAACGTTTGTTGGATATAAAGGTGGAGTTAATTGAGAGTTAATGCAAGAGTAGTGTCGATGATGGTATTGTAAATTTCCTTCTGCAATTTTCTCTTTAACTTTTCTTCCATTGTATCTTTGAAGATCCAACTTTTCCATGACATCATCCATAATTAGAGGAGCAGAAGCAGCATACTTTGCCTGCTCATTTCCCGGTAAACCGATGTGACTTGGTACCCATAACATTTTAATTTTTCCGTCGGGTGTAGTAATTATATTCCTTAATTTGTTGATGGTGCTCCATCTCGAAGTCGAAGGATTCCGAACAGCTTGTAATACAGACAAACTGTCGGTAACAATAGCGGTTTTGAGTTTGTTTTTATGGGCAAGGTTGGCAGCGTGAAGGATAGCTCTGGCTTCCGTTGTGAAAGTTGAAGTACTTTCGTGAAATATGTGGTTGAGAAGAACCCGTCCTGTAGCATCTACCACCGCACAAGCAGGAGGCAGACCAGGAGATTTTGAGCCGTCTGTGTACAAAAGATTCCAACCAGTGCTGTAACAGTTTAACACAATTATTGTTCATACAAATAATGAATAAAAGAGCAAGCAATGATTGGGCTGCTAATTAACAGCACTACTGCCGCCCTGATCACAAAAGTTCCAAAAATTCCTGAAATTTTACCAGTTCACATTTTGGTTAAAATGTTGAAACATATTGTTATTTAGTCATCTCTAATATAACAAATTGCATTGTTAAGTCATTTTTGGGGTTTTTTGTCTTTCGCACCTATACACATATGTATGTATAGCAATGCCTGCGTGGACTTAAAAGTATAAGGTATGATTTTGATTTATTGAAGTGTGAAGTCATATTGAGACAACTGTTGGGGAAAATAATGACAATGAAAGAGCAACAATTTGATTGGCTTCTACTGTAACAGCATTAATGACATAAATCCTGTGTTCAATTTTATAAATTACACTATCTCTTCACATAGGATGTAAAGTAATTTAATTGAAGTAGTAAGTTTACTGCCTGGCAACAAAAATATATCTCTCATATTATGATGAATATATAAAAAAGGAGAATCTTTAAACCCATTCCCTATTGCACTAGAGGTTATATTAAGTTGATGCGGACGTATGTAACATGCAGAAGAGTTTAAGATAGACCCAACATTTATTATATCGCTCGATTTAGAATCATAATCTGAATTTATTTAAGCCTGTCTGTCCATCTGTCCACTTAAATTTGTATTCAAGCTGCAGGTAGCAATTTTTGAAATATTTTGATGAAATTTGGAGATTTAGCCAAGGACAAACGCTATTGAAAATAGTTCGAAACGATCCACTTTTTCGACCACTGGTCTTATAACGCCCTATTCTGAAAACTCGTTACACGGACAAAAATATAATGTTCGTACTAGTTTTTTTACTTCTCTTGGTTTCATATCTGTTCCGTACGTTCCATTAGTAACTGTTTTGTTCCACAATAATACTGCGCTGTGCTTCCAAGTACGAGTAAGATTTAATGAAGACAAATACCTGCGTTTATGGATTAGAAAAACGCCGTTGTAATCATTCCGTTCTTGTGAAAATGTCGGTTTAAGAAAAAAACTTCAAAGAATAACAAATAAGAGCACTACAGTCAATCAAGGCCGCCGATTAAGTACTCTATACTATTTCACGTAATATTGGCATTTATTCATTTTGGCGATAATACATGAACAATTATATAACATTTTTATATAAAGGCATCCAATTCGTATTGGAGAATGGCCAATACATCAACAAGAGGAAGACCAGCAAAGTATACGAACGCCAAGAGGAAGACCAGCTAAGTATACGAACGGAAAGAAGAAGACCAGCAAAATATACGAACAGCAAGAGGAGAACTGTGTTTTTGTCTGAAAACACGTCTCTGTACCGAAATTCATCACATTATCTCGGAAATTCCAATCTGTAGGTTGAACATGACAATGCATGGACACACATCAGACTCACCGACGGACCCACGGACAGACAAGATCAATATATATATATATATAATCGTTGTTCTATCTCACCTTCATCTGGTTGTTACAAACGTCTTAATATATCCTGTACCTGTACCTGTACCCTGTACACGACAAATTTGAACTTTTTGTGGTATCAATAGAACCTGCACCAATTATTTATTAGAAAAACTCAGCTGATTTCATCTGTTTTTTGTATCAATAGAAACTTCACCAATTATTTATTAGAAAAACGCGACAAATATGAATGTTTTGTGGTAAAAGGTGTGACAATGAAATTGAGCGAAAAAGTTGACACCAACATGACAAATGAAAATGAATTGTTTTTTCAGATGAATAAATTCTGTTTGTAAAAACAAAAATTTGGAAGAGAAATAAAAACGTTAACCTTACAAGTATAAGTACAAACACCATTGTGGGCCAGGGCCAGCTAATAAATAACCTCCATTATTACAGTTATTCATATAACAACTTTTCAAAACAAGTCGCTGTATGGGAAGTGTTCGAGACAATGGTCCAATTCGGATCAATTTCAATAACATTGCACCTTGAGCTAAAACACGTCAATCAACCGAATTTCGCAGCCTGTAAGTTAAATACAAGAAAACAAAACGGACCGGCGGAGAGACAATCTTGAATCGATTCAGAAACATTTTCTGAATCGATCGTTATCATAAAAAATGGGTCTGTCTGAAGTCCTTCTGGACGCTGCATACATCCGCACAAATTTAATATACCCTATAGCACTTGATTAATAACGATCTAAAGCATATGCACAAAATCAGACAGACGAGTGAACACTAAAATTACTAAACAATCGCAAATTTCAAAACATTTATTTTGTTTTAATATATGACTTTCAGAATTATAATATAAAGTTTTCCATGAATTTCCAATGGGAAGAAAAAAATGTTAAAAAAAAAATAGTTTTTTTTATAAAATTTTGTTGTTAATTATAATTAGCTTTAATCAAATGAAAAACTTTATATGAACTATTTAGAGCTAAAGAATCCTGGCTACGAAACATACAAAAGCGTTTAAAAATGTTTTAAGACGGGTGTTAAACGCACGGATTATATAACAAGTGAGGAAAATATACATTTGCATACCTTATAATATTGAGTGGGCGACGCTGGTCTTTTACATTTTTTTGGTAGAATAATTTTGTGGATCGCGCATTTGTTGTAGTTTATAAGTAACGAGAACAAGACACGGGAAGCAAATTTGTTCTCAACATTGGTTGTATAAAGGTGTAGAAGTTGTAGGCGTACTCTTTGACCTCTTGACGACATTTTCAAATATTTTTGCAAAGTTGTAGATAATATCTTTATTTTTGCGATGGAAAAAATATTTACAATAGACACTACATAGTTGGGCAAACGGACAGATGGACAGACTTAAATATATTCCGAATTTATAACCCACCAAAAATTTCGGGTTTTTGTGGTTTGCTTCTACGCGTTACAACCCATAATATTTAATAGGCATAATCAATATTTCCCACTTGCTCAATTTTTCCCAATTTTTGCACAAGTACTACAGCATCGCTAATAGAAAATGCGTTCAAATTTTTGTGCACTTATCTATCATAATAATGAGCAAAAAACCAATTTTTTGTTCCTTTTGAAAAACGTATGTCCTGTAAATGTAGATTGTGCTGTAGGCGTGTCCACTGATCAATTTCTCGCATTTTCAATAGTAACCTACGTGCAAGAACTTCACAATTTTCTTGCCAAATTTTAAGTTGATTGCTTCATTTTTGCGGCCAGGACAACCGACATTGTGCAAATGGGCATTTAATGATCGTCAAGAAAATATATACTTCGTGAGATCTCTGAACCTTTCTTTTGGGCTATGCAAACGTTTTGATAAAATGAACATACCTCTCATCTGTCGGTAATGGGTATAAAATCAATTTTAGTTGGCAACCATTAGACTCAAAATGGCTTTTTCTTGAGAATATATAATTTTTCAGTAATTTGTTCACTTCATAGGAACGATTTATACGTTTTATTCGATATATATATATATATATTTTTTTTTTTTTTTATTTTTTTCTAAACTATTTTGAATTTGTACGAAAATGCTAAATCGCGAGAGCCAGGACCATATTGAATTCCACGATTTCAATTATATTGATTACATGCGACCCATTAGCAAGCATCAAGATATGCGTACCTCCACTTATGTCGGTACCAAACGTTTCAATGATAACGCGTGTATGACAAAACTTCATCCTAAACGTAACGAATCGCATCCATACACCGATGATGAGTTCTTAGAGAAATTTCGTGCTAGTGATTATAAAAATAATTTCACGTCGAAAGTCCGTGACTCTAGTGCGCTGCGTAATCCAAATTTATCTAAAGAACTTCGTGTCATTAAACCATTCTATGAGATGAAATTAAAATTCCTCAGGCGCCCAATGTTGCCTGCTATAAGTGTAACGCATTCCGACTTCTTATGGAATCCGTCACCGCCGATTGCAATCTGTGAACCAATGCCAGCGCTAATACCAAGTCCAGTTCGATCTAATATTGTTACTGTAAATCGTAATGAACACGGCTATGCAAAATATTTGGATCCGCAAGCCACGACACAGCGTTTGGATTATTGCCATCGCTCGTGTAGAGATATCTCTAAGGGCATCGCTGTCAATGATTATATAACATTTTGGAATTGGAAGGATATCGATTCTCACGCTAAGAAAGTCTCCGTCACCAGTGATTCTCAGTTATGCGATAAATTTAGATCGAAGGATTGCGAAAAGCGTTCGGAATTGCAGAATCAACGCAAGCGTGTCCCTAATTCTGGTATGACAACGGAAGTACGTGAAAATTATTTGAAGCAAAATTCATACGAAACTGTTTACGACCGCAATCGATTGCGATATGATCATAAACATGAAGTGGATCAGATGCCCAAGAAAACGGAATGTGGTATATTGGGCAGTGACGATCATGCCTTGAAGTTTTTATAGACGTGAATAGATATACATATATATTGTTTTTTAGTTTGAGGAAATAAAAAAATTCTATGTAACGTTTAAAAAAGATGCATTTATCATTCGTAAGGCGAGTCTTGGTTGAAATTGTGGCTGTGGGCTGCATTCCTGCTCTGCTCTTTAAAAAAGCTTTACTAAGCGCTCAGATCAAGTTTTAGTTCTCTTTTAATTGGTTTGAGTTTTTCGCCTTTATAATCGATATCTAGAACAAGACTGAATCTTTTATTCCCACTGCTGTTATCCTCAAAGAGCTTTAAGAAAAAACTAAGGAAAAGAACTACATTTTCATAGTCTATGACATTTGAATGGCGTGGCTAACACCGTCCTACATGGTTGAGCTGATGGATAGATGGGTACGGACGAACGGACATTAGGTGCATTCGGAATTTGACAGTAAACTTTATGGGGTTTTAGAGCTTTGCATCGATGCGTTTTGAAAACAAACTAAACTTTGATACGCTATAATATTACTGAAGTGAAGTTAGCCCACTGTAGCACACTTCACACTTGGATAACTGCCTCAGCTAAGGTAATTGATTACTGAACGCTACAAAAATGATACAGAAATGTTATAAGAAACTAACAAAAAAATTGTTTCTTGTATTTATCATAGAGTGCATGTGTAGCGTTGGCGAAAAGTTGTAATATATAAAATTTGTATAAAAAATTTTTAAGAAATATGAAATGTATAGTTTTCTGATATGTCCTATCAGAAAAACCTAACTTCTTAACTTTGGTTAGGGGACATCACCTTGAAATTCGTCAAAAACCGGCTCTTTCCATATACACAAGACCCTAAAGGCAAAATGTTGTATATATATATTTATATATATATATATATATACATCTTGAGTAATAAGCAAAAAACTAATTCGGTGTTCCTTTTGAAAAACAGAGGCGTTCTCAGTTTACGTAATACTATAGGCGTGTTCTTCGACCGATATGGCCCATTTTCAATAGTAGCCTACGCGCAAGAACTTCCAGTGTTCTTGCCAAATTTGAAGCCGACAGCTTAATTTTTGCGGCCAGAACAACAAACATTACCTTGACGAACGGATGGACATGCTTGAATCGATTCAGAATGTGATGTTGATCAAGAATATATGTACAATGTCAGGTCTCTGAAGCTTTCTTCTGGGCCCTCACCTTCTGGTGATTGGCATTAAAAGAGCTCATTTAACGACGAGCGTGCAAAACATCCTTACTTTTCTTCCTTTTAAAAACGCATGCAAGCGAAGCCAGCAGTTTCTGAAAACCAACAATCAGCTGTTCCCTGCACAGTATTTGTAAACAAACCGGCATGGAAGAGACCAACATGTGGTTGTTTACATGTCAAAAGTAAGACCATATGTATTTTGTTGCTGTAAAATAGCACTGCGTGTATTTTGTTGTTACCTAAATTATGTTTTACAAAGCGCATGTCACGACCGCAGTTGTTTCAAAAATACGTTGTCAAAATAAATGTCAGATGCTTTCAAAAGATTATTGATTTTTTCAACAAAATTTAAATAAGATCTGGCTTATCAAATATAATCAAACAAAAATAAATAAATAAAAAAGAAGCATATTTTAAGGAGAGTCTTTTTAAAAATAGTAGTTATTAAGAATAACGTCTTCATTTAAATAGAAAGATTATTTTAATTTATGGAACGAATATGATTAAAATGCGACCATATGTTCCATCATCTCGTATAGCCATACGAGACTCCTCCATAGATGAGGATATAAGCGATGATATTGATGATGATGTTTTTATTAAGGATTCCCGAACGGCTAAGGTAACTTTTTTTGATTCGTTTGGTCTAGACGATTAATATTTCCGAAAATGTTTTTTGGAATAGTTGAATGAGGAGAAAGGCTTAAAAAGACCTCTTATGGCACCGCGTCATAAAAATGGCAAATCTATAAATTCGGTTCCGATAATGAAAAAACATCGACGTTGCTGTTGGCGTTGTTGTGAGCCATTTTGTTACGCTTTAGCGGCTATTACCATTTTAACGGCTATCATTAGCTTAGCCGCCTTGATTTTAACGATGGTACCGATTTCAATGCAAAAATTCAAATATTGGTTTTATCATAATAATAACCCATCGATTCCGTTGTCCCTCAACGATGAGAATATGAGTGCGGAATTCGTGCCTTGTTCTCAAATTAATGTTCAAAAATTGTGGTCAAAAAAATTCCCTCGCATGAACAGTGAAAGTCCCGTACGTAAAGTTGATTTAAATGGTGATAAGATAAGCGATATCATATTCGGTTTTGGAGTCGATGATAATATACAATACGAAGGATATGTATTACCTAAATGTAAATCGCCTCTGCAGGGAGAAGAGGTGCCTTGTGAAGGCGGTGTCATAGCAGTGGACGGACGAAATGGCGAGTTATTGTGGCGGTCGTGGAGTGTGGCGAATGTTTTTTCCTTGTTGTGTGCCTTGGATGTTAATCAAGACGGTTACATGGATTGCGTGGCTGCCGGAAGATTGGGAGTATGTTCTCATATTTCAATAAGAATCTTTCTTTATCCGTTTTATGAATGAATTTCAGATGATTTTCGCTATTAATGGACGCAATGGTCACAGTATTTGGGAATTTCGTGAAATAGAAGTAGAAACTAATTCTCCCATTGTAATGGATCTGTATACGATTAATGTGGTACGCGATTTAGATGGCGATGAAATTCCAGAAATATTGGCAGTTCATTTAGAAGAGCGAGAAGAGTCTAAGGCAGGTCATATTAAAGTAATTGCCGGTAAAACCGGTAAAGTAATACGTACTATTCCTACACCTTACCGTGAGGAGGTATTTGTCCCAGTTCAGTTAATCACTAAAGAAGATGGCACGGAATTATTGTTAATTATCTCGGGAGGACAAAATACTCCGGGAGGTGTTTACAGTATACGGTTATTATCACTTATGAAATTTACGAGCGAGAAAGAGTTCACGACATTATATCATCGTAAACATTCCGGTTTGATGGTACCAGCTATATTAACAGACGTAACGGGAGATGGAATGGTCGATATTGTTGTTTCAGCTTTCAATTCAACGGTAATGGCTTTTGACGGTCGTAATTTTACTATGTTATGGAATTATACTTTCCCGGCCAGTGATAGTGTTAGTGCTATTGTACCGGGACATTTTAACCATGATAATATTAGTGATTTCATGGTTAAGTATAACACCGGTCCAGGTTTTCCGGTATATTATTATTCGCAAACAACTATACTAGATGGACGTAATGGAAAACCGTTATTGGATTCAATGATGACGGATTCAGGCGGTGCCAGCAGTCTTTTAGGTGGAGTTACAATATCCCAAACGTTTGGTGGTGATTTTTTCCTGCACTGGCAAATGCATTGTCGCGACAAAGCAGACAACAAGGATGCCTATGAGTTTATACCAGGTCAGCCTAATAAAGCCTTCAAATTGAAATGAAATAATAACTAGAACGTTTTTATTCAGACAGTGATATAATTTTACAAGCACGTGCTGATAGCTGTCGTTTGCGTTATAATACCTCAAGTGTTGTCAAATTATACGCAATCGCCCGTCACATCGAACCACCGGGAGCGGTATTATTTAGTACAGGTATAGTACAGGATTAATCTCTATATTTTTATACCCGTCATCGAAGGATGACCAGTATATTCATTTTTCCAAAACGCTTGCAACGCCCAGAAGCAAGCATCAGAGACCCCACAATGTACATATATCCTTGATCAGCATCAAATTCTAAATCGATTTAAGTATGTCTCTCTGTCCGCATGTGCGTCTGTATGTCCGTCCGTCTGTGTAATATCTATTATAAATATTGTCCGCAAAAATGAAGCTATCGACTTTAAAATTTGTCCGAAACATTGGGAGTTCTTGTACGCGCGATGATATTGAAAATTGGCCAAACCGGTCGAAGAATATGCAAATAGCACCACGTAAGTTAAAAATATTTCAGCTTTTCGAAAGGAACGAAAAATTGGTTTTTTGCTCACTACTCAACATATATAGCAAATAAATCTACAAGAACAATTGACCACGCCTACCCAATATTATAGTGTAACAAAATTTAATGGTTTTTCAATGCCTTTATAAGGTGTAGAAACAAGCTTCAAAAAATCCATAAAGCAAGCAAATTCTATGCCATTTTCAAATCTTGAATGCTCCTAAACATGTCCGCCTGTAGATCTGTCTATCTGTCTGTTTGACCAACTTTGTAGTAAACATTCCTTCGTTAGCAAAAATGAAAATATCGCCTAAAAATTTGCAAAAGGATTTGAAATTGACCCCAAGCCGAAGAACTCAGTTGTACCCACTCCATTATATAAAGCTCGGATATTTTGTTCTTTTACTTCTTTTGCCTTTTTTTGGAGTAAACGGTGACGGGTATAAAAGATTCGGTCCCAACCGAATTTAATTTTTTTTCTTGGCAATTATATCTTATTACCTGTTCATCGTAGATGATCTCGACGTTCGTTTAAATCGAACACATCACGTAAGATCATCGTTTCATACGAAATCTCAAAAGTCACCTTTGAAACATCCAAAGTTATTAAAAAAATTATTAGCTCATAAGGAGCTACTGGAAAAGGTGGCCATGGCAGAGAAAATGGAGAATTTAGAAAAGTCCAAGATATCACATAAGGAAGGCAGCCTGCGTAAGCCAATTTTAGAGGAAGATGTTCTACAAGAAATATTACCGAAAAATGAAATATCCGTGGAACCGGTGGACAATGTATATTATGGAATTGGTGGGAATGTAGGTGGCTATGGTGGCAATATGGCCTTAAGAGATTTTGTGAGTGCATTCAAGAGTACAAATTTCCTAATGTAAGTTAATTTCTTCATCTAGCCAAAGGATTATGATATCGAACCGTCTCATATGTCGGAAGACTATGAGGCCACCTATCAAGATAGTGAAATACCCCAGATAGTTCCACCGAACGATCATCCAATACATTTGCGTACCAAATACCCAGGCAATCGAGATGTACGCAGTGATATAAACACATTTGAAGAGGATTTATTAAATGCCACGAATATATTGACAATTGGCGGCGTAGGGCGAAATAAATTGGAAGAACCTTTAAGTTTATGGGATTTAGAAAGAGAAAAAGAGGAACGTGACGCATTACGAAAGGCTGAAAAATATGAAGAAGAGAACGAACAGTCGTTAGGAGAGGATGGAAAAAGTGAAAGTACAATTGCAACAAAACGGTTAAAGAATCGTAAGCGACGTGAATTAAGTGAAGACAATGACTGGTTTTTAGCTTCAATATCATCGACTGGCATTCTATTGCAATCGTTAAATCACGTAAAATCCTCAATTGATTTTGCTTTTGTTTTAAATATACGTGAATCGGAGCCATATCCGCCATTATTTTTACCGCAAGATTTGAACTGCGTTGAGGAAAAAATAAGCGCTTACAAAAGTTTGTTTTCAATTCAAAATAATTTTTTAATTATATATACATATATATTATTATTAATAATATCGACTTTCAGGCTATACACTGGATAATCAACGCATTTTACGTAAACAATTTCTTAAGCAATGCTTAAGTGATCGTTTAATTAATATTGAACCTGAACCGCCTAAATATGAATCCCAATTGATTATAGCTCGTATTGGCATCACTTGCACTTGTCGTTCCTTACAGGCGAACGAAATATGCTCAGAGGTAGACGATATCGACAATCAAAAATGGACCGAATATATGGGTAATAACGGAAATGGTTTTTACAGCAATTAAAAAGAGATAAATTTTCAAAAGGCTTCCAAAAATTTCTATCTATTAGTGACTTGATTTTCTGTTCTAAGCACAAGGTTTATTATTTAATTTACATTTAACAAAACTCTACCGTTTTAGTGAAGTTTTTTTTTCATTTTTTAATGTTGTGCTTTCAAGTTTTAAAAAAAACAAATTCATATAATAAAAATGTCTTCAAATTTAAGCGAAAAAGTTCGCTTAGCTAAGCTCACATATGATTTTTTTTTTTAGTGTTTTTGCTCAAAATTGAACTTTATTGGGGGAAAAAGTGGTTCAATCCAAACCATTTTCTAAAGCTTTCTTCTTTGGCTTAAAACACATTAGTGTACGAAATTTAATCAAAATAGTTGAAAAATTGCATAAGAAAACAAGGCGGACAGACGGACAGACAAACTTATCTAGAAATGATTCTAAATATATCGGCGATGAAAGATGGATCTATCTTAAACCATTCCAGATGTTATATACGTCCGCACAAACATAATATACCCTATACCACAAGCAATGTATGGTATAAAAAATGCAGCTAAACCTATGAAAATGATTAAGTTAGCTGCGAATGAAAACGCGATAACCTACGATATCGTTAGAAATATGGGCGAGTAGCCTAGTGTGTGTTTGCTCAATCGATAATTATTATGCCTTTACTAACTGAGTATTCGCGGTGACAACGATCAAAGAAAAACTCTATCGCACTTGGAGTTGAACTCGTGAACACTGCCAAGATTACGGAGTCGGTTTTGTCTTTTATAACTATCACCGAGGAATTATTGAAAAAAAATTAAATTTTGATACACTATATTATTGGATAGCCGTGGCAAATTTTTTGTATCTTGATACAGGTACTACAGCATCACTCATAGATTATACGTTTCCATTTTTTATTCCTCTTGGACAGCAAAGGCCTTGTCAGTTTACGTGGCACTATGGGCATGTCCTTCGATCGAATTGGCCCATTCTCAATACTAACCTGCGTACAAGACGTTTCGTTATTTCTACAAAATTGGACATCGACAGCTTCATTGTTTTTTGGAGAATGTTTACAAACAGCCCCTTTATAGACGGACGGATGGACATGCTTAAGTCAATTCAAAATCGATTCAGATGGTTATCAAGAATGTATATACTTTGTGGGGTTTCCTTCTGGGCGTTGCGATGGTTTCAACATCATCCTTTGGTGATGAAGATAAAGGAAAATATATTTTAAGTCAGTTCAGAAACAAGTGATTTCTTCTAAGGCGAACATATCTTTCTGACTCGTTAAAAAGATATGAACGGTGAATAAGAGATACATTACAAATACAGGTACAGATACTTTTATTAGAATGCAGTTGGCATTTATTTAAATTTTCATTGGACAATTTGTAAAACCAAAATTAGAAATAATTTAAAAATATAGTTAAATATTTCATAATTTCAAACATGTGCATAGTGCTTTCATTTTGCTATGTTCATATAATTATATCTTTCATTTATTCTATAACTTGAAACGTATGGTAAGGAAACATCGTTTTTTCTTTTTTAGTTTTTGAAAACTTCACGATTGTGTTGTGTTTTTTTTTTCTTTTTCTTTGTGAGCAAGAATATATCCTAAATATATTGTTTTTCATCGAATTAGAGATATTAAAACCTTTTCTTATAAATCTATACATATGTTTTTATAGATAAATAGGATTTGTAGTTTTTTGTTTTCACAAAGTTGAGCATATTTAATTACTTTTTCCGGCATTCATCAATAATGTCTACGACCTTATCCAATATTTCGCTGGGAGTTTCTACTCGCGGTATATCATAGTTTTGACTAACGTAAACACCACTGTATACACCCATCGCCAGAGCAACTAAGAATTTAAACATCTTCAATAATCCGGATTTATCAACTGCCAATTCGAGAAGATTTTCAAAAACTGATTGATTAATTGTGATTTTTATCATTTTATATGTTATCATTTCTCAATGTATTTTGTGGATTTATTGTGAATGATTTTTTTGTAATGTGTTTGACAACCCATTGAAAATAAATCAGCGAGGAATAGATAGATTTTATTAATAATTTTTCGCTAAAATATTATGTTTTAATTGTTAATAAACAAACTATACATTATGGGTATTTTAGAGAAAATATCTGAAATTGAGAAAGAAATTGCTAGAACTCAAAAAAATAAAGGTAAAAAGTAGTCGATAAATGTGTGCGGTATGAATGGAGGTTAAGCGAAAACATAAGATTTTATATTCTTTTAGCTACGGAATATCATTTGGGTTTACTTAAAGCCAAGCTAGCGAAATATAGAGCGCAACTGTTAGAGCCAACGAAGAAAGGTGAAAAGGGTGAAGGTTTCGATGTCCTAAAGAGTGGTGATGCACGAGTTGCTTTAATTGGGTTTCCTTCGGTTGGAAAATCAACTTTATTATCCACATTAACGAAAACGGAATCAGAAGCTGCCAATTATGAATTTACGACACTAACCTGCATACCGGGCGTTATTGAATATAAAGGAGCAAATATACAACTATTAGATTTGCCGGGTATTATTGAAGGAGCAGCTCAGGTTATTATTAGCGTACTGCGTGGGAGTTAAAGCAAGAACTAATAATTTCAATTTGTATTTAGGGTAAAGGCAGGGGCAGGCAAGTGATAGCTGTAGCTCGTACAGCCGATTTGGTGATAATGATGTTGGATGCTACTAAACCCAATGTGCATCGGGATTTGTTAGAACGCGAATTGGAATCGGTTGGTATACGTCTGAATAAACGTAAACCGAATATTTACTTTAAGCAAAAGAAAGGCGGTGGTCTTAGTTTTAATGCTACTTGTTCCTTGACCCGTTGCAATGAGAAAATGGTTCAAACCATATTGCATTCATTTAAAATTTTTAATGCTGAAGTTCTTTTCCGTGAAGACTGTACCGAAGATGAGTTCATTGATGTCGTTACCGCTAATCGGGTCTATTTACCTTGTTTATATGTGTACAATAAAATTGATCAAATTTCCATTGAGGAAGTTGACCGGTTGGCCAATCAACCTAACTCCATAGTAGTCAGCTGTAATATGAAACTAAATTTGGATTATCTTTTGGAAGCATTATGGGATGCATTACAATTGATTCGAGTGTATACCAAAAAACCGGGAGCACCGCCAGATTTTGATGATGGTTTAATTTTGCGAAAGGTAACGACGCTCAACGTTCCGATTTAGTTATTCATATCCTTTCTATATACCTTCTTCGCTTTGCAGGGCGTCACTGTAGAACATGTTTGTCATGCCATACATCGTACATTGGCCGCTCAATTTAAATATGCCTTAGTCTGGGGTACTTCAACTAAGTATTCACCGCAACGTGTTGGAATTAATCATGTGATGGCCGATGAAGATGTAATACAAATTGTTAAAAAATGATAAGAATCCTGTTCATATTTATTTTTTATATAATATCTTAGTTTCTACACTATTCACTATTTTGTTACGTAGCATTACAATAACAGGATGTTTGAAATAAGTCTTTTTGTTTTTTAATTTCGTTTTGAACATGACCAAAAGCAAATGTTGACGTCTTATTTCTTGGGAACTCATTGTAAGAATAAACATTTGATTTGATAGTTACCCACTACTGAATCCAATTAATAGGGCAAATGGAATTTTTGCAGGTGACATATTTTATTACATTTCATGGACTACAAAAATCAAATCGACACTATTTAGTTGGCTGCGTAGCAGTCGTACCTGTCACCGCTGAATTATTAAATGATTTACCAAAATTACTAATGGCGCTAATATTCGAGAACGGTGTTGGACCGGCGGTAACACGTGTAGTGTCGACAACAGTCGCTGGATCATCGAGCTTTGCGAAAACGTTGGAATTGTCGCGTAAACGATACTTTCTTAAATTAAGATATTGTTCCTTTTGTTCTTCAATCTTCTCATGAAGCTGATGTAAACGGCCAGCTAACGATATAAAACTCTCATTGATCTGCTTAAAACAACGCTTCATATCCTCAGGAGATATATTCTCTGGATTGGTTAACGAATGCATATGCTGTTCGATGAGGGCAATTTGTTCGCGAAAACCTATTAAATCTTGCTCGTATTTCATTATCAAATTTTCAAAAAATTGAAATGGAGCATTATTTTCAAACTGAAGGCCGACTTGTGTATCCTGAGTGCGTTGGGCCATTTCGACAGATTGTATCGTTCTTGAGGTCTCTTTACGCAATAACTTGATAAGATTGTAATTGCTTTCCACGGAATTAAACATTTCTTGTAAAACCCACTTAAAATTTGTAATTTCACCCGATACATTAGTTAACTTTGAAGTAGATGTTCGCCCTATATCTGAAGAAAGAGTTTTTTGCGTTTTTATATAACTTTTCAGATCATCGACAGTCTTGGCGATTTCATCGGGCACTCGTGTCTCCTTAATTTTAATGTTATCTTGTTTACAATCTCCTGCCTTCGGTTGAGTGGAGCTAACATCGATACCACCCAAACCCACAAATGGTGTAGTAGTTGTTGTAGTAGCGGCAGTTGTGGTGGTGGCTGCTTTACCAAATAAACTACTTCCCAGGGATGTAGTAGTAGTCGTACCGAAATTTAGGCTGGCCAAAGTGCTGGCAGTAGTTGGTTTACCAAAAGAAAAATTTGTTGTTGCGCCCAAGCCAAATCCAGAAGATGTAGTATTGGCTGGCTGTTGTTGCATTCCAGATGCCGTCGTAGCAGCAGTAGGCAGCGTTCCAAAACTAAAATTAGGTGCTGAAGAGACGGCAGCCGGTGCTTGATTACCAAATCCGAATGAGCTAGCTGGAGTATTGCCAGTGCCAAATGCTGGTGCGGGACTACCAAAAGCTCCGCTAGTAGATGGAATTCCAAAAGTTGGCATCGCTGTTGATGCAGTTTTGGGAGTAGTAAATGCAAAGTTTCCCGCTGCTGCTGTTGTCGTTGACGGCGCACCAAATGAAAAATTTGACATTTTCGATTGCTTTTTAAATGAACACTAGTAAAAATTTTGGAGTACAATTAAATTAAATGAGCTTAAAAACGTTTACGCCTTTTCAGATGATTTTGTGGTTCAAAACTAGACGTTTCTTTTTGTTTTTTAAGAAAAAAAAAAGAATTTTGTTTTTGCCATTAAACAGCTGATTGCTACATTAGCGCCATTTTGTGCTTGTTCTTCCTGAAAATAGTTCACAATAGCGTTTATGCTCGGTGTTATCACTTGCCGCTGTAAGGAAACACAGTTAGACAAGGTTAAAAAAAAGGAAAATATGTGCGAAAAATTCATCGTAATTTTTCATGTTTAATATAAAGTCTGTAATTTATAAAATGGTTAATGTTTACTTGTCTGCCCATGGAACTTTGTGTTCACCCAACAGATGGTAATTTTCGGCATATATTAATGAATTTTAGTACACCCACATGCTTTAACTCAAGAATGGACGCTATTAATAAGAGGTCGAAGCAGATCCCTTTTCTACTACTCCTCACATAAGAACTCATTTTGAAAATGTATTATGTGGAAAAAAATTGCAATTTTCAAAATTTCATGGGAAAAACGTCTAAGTGA